CTTTTACAGTAACTGGTTCATTCAGGAACTTGGCTCAACCGGAAGACTTTAAGATATACTTAGGCGATCACTTCAATGGGCGAGTATTTTGTGTGTAATGGGATTACATTTATAATTTAAGGGAGGTGACTAACTAGAATCAACGGCCAGAGAAAGTAGCAAGTGAAATGCTTACACGATGACTGAGAACAGCCAAGTGATACGCCAAACTGCGTGAAGGCTTCTGAGTGTGTGCTTGGTCGATGTTAAATGGTAAGTACCCTGCGGTGTATTAATCAGATTCGTATATTTTGTAACATATGGCTATAAGTACCAAACCATTGTGTGTAAGATACAAATGCTGGATACAGTTCGTACAGTCGTTTTCATCACATCCACACATACACGAAAACCCAAATCCGAGTGGAGTTTCATTTTCTTCATCCCCAGAGCGGCTCTCCCTATCCGTGTCGCTGGGCTTTGGCAGAATCGATGTGGCGCAGTGAGCGCGTTATAACACCGTCGGGACGGTCCGCCGCCCATTGTCAGACGCCGCGCGACTGTCCCTGCAGCATCGTGCGTGTATTATTCACTGGCGGGCATCGGCACGCAATATCCGTATTGAGCCGGCCAGCGCGGCGGGACGGGTTCGAGCCGGGTCCGCCCAACGTTCGACATACCGCGTCCCGTGATCGGACGACCCAGTTCCCACAGAGGGCGTCTGAACTAACGCGCGTGACCTCTCACAGAGAGAAGGTGCATCGTCGAGGGATGATGTAATTCTCACATACATATCCCGCGAGTTGCTTGGGGGGGGGGGGGGGCGTTAAACGCCCCCACTTTTTTCGCCGGGCCATAGCATGGCGCGCCAAAATTTTGGTACCTGTAGGGAATTGATTGAAGTTTATTGTGACAAAGTTTCAAAAAAAAAATCGGTCGGAAATTTTTGAGATATCGATGTTTTAGTGACGTCATGATTTCCGAGTTTTCGACCAAAAACGGCATATGTTCCAAAAATCACATAAAATCACAGAATAGACATACAGATATGCCGTAAACGCCATTAGACTGCCAATACCATGAACAATCAAATGGTTATCTTCGATTAATTGATTATAATCGTTCGGCATTTTCCAAAATCTTGAACTGAATCTTGGCAATTTCTCGTGACTACTTCACGACCATAATCCATGCATTTCTTAAATTGACCTTTTTGAACCAAACACGTACACATATGATAAAATGAATGTCACCATCGTGCTCTACGCCCAAAATCACTCATAGAACATGTGCCACAGGCTGCCAATATCAGTTTTGATTTTCGGGGATATGTGCCTACCCGGTTGACCTGACCTTGACCCTGACCTATGCTTGACTGACCTCTACATGGAGCTGACACTCTTGTAGGCCTTATATGAAGGATTGTGCACCGTTTTGACAGAGTTTATGACGAGAGGCGCCCATTGCGAAGTCCTGAAGTCCATGCTACTGAAAGCCCGATTTCAGGTGTTTGACCTGACCTTGACCCGACCTGTGACCTCAAAATTCATCTTTAAAGTATTCATATGAAGCGTCTCGTCGCGTTCTTCCGTTTGCCGCCTCGTGTGTTTCGCTGCGCCTATTGGTTCTCGAGTTATCGGCTGGGGGCGTTTAACGCCCCCCCCCCCCAGCAAACGGTGGGTGGCGAAATACCCCAGCAACTGCCTGGATATGCAATGGCTTTAGTAATTCTCACATAGGGGAGGACCGTACAAGAGTACGCACCTAATGCATTTTGTCGTCTCACGCCGTTCGGTTTTGATTTACGGCTACGATCAGCATATTCCGATAAAGCCTGATCATTTGTCCACAAACTGTCATGACCACAGCGGCCTACGTCCAATTTAAAGCGTGACCGTAAGCAATTTTCTAACACCCTGCATTTGCGTACTCTTGCCCGATAGGCAGTACAAGAGTACGCACTTCGTGCGGGTGGAGTACGCACTACGTGTATGCATTCCTACTCGCTGGAATCAATGCATTCATGCAAGTAATTTAACTATTGTTATCTTTATTGCCGCAGCCACTAAAACGGTCACTCTTAACAGAGTCGAGGCGCCCCGCTGTGGTCGTGCAAATGCCCCCTGGTCTACCAGAAACAGTGATGCTCTTCGTGGTTTCCCCAACTGCTCGGCGTCCCCCCCCGAGTGTCATCCACCTTGTTGGCCAATCCCTTGAATCTGCTGAGGGGTTGCGCGCCTGATGCACTAAGTCGATTAATGCAACACAACCACGCACTCGGAAAACTGCGTACTCTTGTCCGCCACGGCAATGCGTACTCATGGCCGACACATACGGTAGACACAAAGCCGGCTGAGAGCTGGCGCCACAGTCGTCGCGTTAACAATTGGGACTTGACACACACACCAGATTCCCCGTGGTATCTTGATAGGAAAAAATGAAAATTCTATTGCCGCTCCCTGAGGAAGGTCACACCTTTTCCTGCACCCCAAAAAGTCTAAAAGCGATGTGAAAAACACGTCTAAGCCTCTAAAAAAGACAAGTGAACCCGTAGCGCGCCCACCTTCCACCATCGAAGCCGCGTGAGAGACAGCTTCGACAGCTTCCTTAGGACTCGAGATGACGCTGATGAGGCGTTGCTAAGCAACCGAAACAGCTGCTGCGTACTCTTGTCGCCTGCGTCCTCTTACCCGCCCTTACCCTACATATGGTTCACGCATCAACGGCGACTTGCACCGATTCCCACACATTGACACCAATGTGTGGGAATAGTTGACACTATTCCTGCCAAAATATCAATTCGAATCATTTAAAGTAGAACGCATGGGTCACTCATAGCCCTCATGAAAGGTAGATCCACATCGACCCCCTAGTTCGACCCCTGCGCGACAATTCATTTGATGACGAGTGCAATGATCCTTTGCCAACTCCAATGAGCCGACCAGTTAGTTCCCGATGCATGACGAGCCGTTGCCGGGAAAATGAACTGACTGGCAGACATTAGCCTCGGCCACTAGCACTCTCCGTGGACCGTTTCAGGAAATGTGCTCATGAGGACTGAATGAATAGCACTTACGACTGAAGGCATTCCTTCGGTGGCATGATCAGACGCACTTTATACCGCGACCGAGCGAGCGCGGTGCCGTGCTCAGCTGGCTCGCTATCGCAGTGGAGAGGATGGCCCATTTGACGCCATCCATTTTCCGATGCAGCGGCCTGATCTGGCCACATAAACTGTTCTAAATAGCTCCTCGGGTGCCTTAATTGAATCCTGATAGATTGGGCATCCGCTGTATCAATGTTGTAAAGGAACACGGACTTCGAACTCCTTTTTATCGTGACTTGCAAAGCGAGTATCGACAATTGAGTCTCCCATCCAATATTAAGCCGTGACTTTAAATGCAACGACCGCAGTACATCACTGGCAAAATCATGGATATCGAATTGGTTAAAGGGGTGTGGACTGTGGAGGCGTATAGGATTACAATGACGAATATGTGCCCATTGCTCAGAGACATGTATTGACAAATAACGCTATAATGGAGAACTGATATACCACGGTAGAAAAACACAAGACGGAGAACCCGACCTTAAAAAGTAGGTACATACGTGGGAAATGATGCCACACGCAAGCAGAACAGTGCCAACAAAAGCTTGATGATGATTAAAAAGATATCACATTATCAGACTTCTAAAGCAAAGGCTGAACTACCATCCAATGACAGGCTTCCGAATACCGTCTGAGACACGATATTATGGAATGACTGTGGAATATGATAGGATTTCAGAATGTTACTAAAGCCATCAATCAGAAATCCAATTTTTGGTAAACCGATACTACTTCGATACAATTTTAATATTTTGAATAAAAAAAAAGAATCTTCAAGATGCCCTCGTCGACGAGTAAAAGAGCTTTTCAAAGTATCAACAAGACAGGTCAGAAAGAACTTCTTTATGCCCGGAATATTAACGAGTATCCGCATTTCGATCGGCACTCGGACGCCTAGCAGCTCCATGATAACTAGGTATATGCGTTGGTTTGTACTGTAGCCATATAACGATCTGCTACACCAGTGGCCATAAGCTCCGAGCCAATAGCCCTCAGTCATACAATTCCCAAGCCGATGTGACTGCGTCGAACGTCATCGTACAATTGAGAGGAGCAAGGTGAGATGTTGTTTCAGAGGGATGGAGAAGAAAAGTGCTGCCTTTACGCTGACTTCGCGCGGGGAAGCTAAGCCGGCCCGAAACCTGCCGGCCCGTCCATTTGGCTCGGTAATATACAGAGATCGGTAGTATGTAGAGCGAGGACCGGCGGGGGAGCCTGCCCTGTCCTGACAGGTGAGGGAAGGGAGTCCTACCTGGCCCCACAGGGGAGAAGAAGGGAGCCCTGCCCGGTCCCACACGGGAGGGGAAGGGTGTTCTGCCCGGTCCCACACGGGAGGGGAAGGATGTCCTGCCCCGTCCCACGGGTGAGGGGAGCCGAGTCCTGCCCAGTGGGTGTCACAAGTGAGGGAAGAGGAGCTCTGTCCTCCCCAACAGGGGAGGGGAAGGGAGTCTTGCACGGCCCCACAGATGAGAGGAGGGAAGCCCTGCCCGGTGTCACAACAGAGGGAGGGAAGCTTTGCCCGGTCCCACAGGCGAGAAGAGGGGACCCCTGCCCGGTCCCACAGGGAAGGGAAGGCGAGCCCTGCCCGGTTCCACAAGGGAGACGAGTGGAGTGAGTCCTACCCTGTTAGTTAATCAGAGGGAAGGGGAGTCCTCCCCAGGCCCACAGGTGAGGGGAGGGGATCCCTGCCCACAGGTGAGAGGGGGAGGGGAGCCCTGATCGGTGCTACAGGGGAGGGGAGGGGAGCCCTGCCTTGAGTGCCCAGTCCCAACAGGTGAGGAGAAAGCTGTCCGGTCCTACAGGTGAGGGGAGGCAGCCCTGTCCGGTCCCATATGATGAAGGAAGGGGAGCCCTTCCCTCGTCCCACAGGTGAGGGGAGGGGAGCCCTCAGCCCACCCAGTGCGGTACTCACACATGACCTGCAGCAGCAGCGGCTCGCTCTGGTTGTGCCCCTCGGCGTTGGAGGCGCCGCACGTGTAGCTGCCGGCCTGGTGACGCGACACGTTCGGCAGCACCAGGCTCCGGTCTATGATCATCACATTCGAGCGGCGGTCGCTGACCAGCTGCTTCCCCTGTCGGACGGGAAGGGCAGGGACAGAGGGGCTCAGGGACTCGCCTCTGAGTGCAGCACACGAATACGATCCGTGTTCATACCGACACAAGTGCAGCTTTTTCGGCACTACTCTTGTGAATGGGCCAGATAAGCACAGGAAATGCCGAATTATTTTCACGTCTCATCTAACCGAACTATCGTATTATCACCTGCACCAGAGACTGCCGAGCTCCTCGTTACGTAATGAAGGGAATGCCGTTATATAAGCAAGCGCCAATTGACCAGCAGACCGCAGTGTGAGGCACAAAACGAACAATGTTGGAACGTTTTCCCGAGAACAGCGTGGTTCGCCACGACCCTTGGGAACAATGTTCTACGCCACCAAATAATTAAACTGCTTTGCAATATTCAAACAAAACTAGTTATATCATGGCATTTTAATAGCGGTGTTACGCTACAGGTCAGCACCAAAGTAAAAATGGCGGTTTGCAACACATTGCTTCATTTCATTCTCAGCTAAAGTGACGGGAATGAGACAAGTACCTAACTACGATCAATAGCTGATACGGTACATAAATCACGAGAACAAGTTACGTGCCGTCCAAAATTTATTATACATGTCAATACATAATTGTACAACGGCTGCACGCCCCCACATGCTAACTGGCTGAGCGCTGGATCAGCTGACTCTTGCCTGTGCACTCGACTGCCTACTGCCTACTGCCTACTCATCTGTTGTGCTCCGCTCGCCAAGGCCACCAATGCATAGTCATAAATCATCCTACGACATGCCATGAAGCGTCGATCCAGAACAATGTATGACTTTGGCCAGCGATCAATCGTACGGAACATCACTAGGTTATGATTCATTCGGGGTGGGCAGAGCCGAGTGTCGATTTTCGGAGGACACCCGGCAGAATTCCTCCTTACAAAACACGGCGTCACTCGTCGTCCCAGCCCGTGTTTTCTGACATAATGCCATCGTTAATAGCTCTGAGTGTTATAGCCCTACACTCAGCAGTACTGCACCTATAAATTGACGCAAATACGGAGACATGGCATGTTTCCAAAGGGAACAAATAGGGCCATTATTCATGCCCGCTTGTTGTGCACGTGTAATATACCCAAGGTTACGACATGCATTGAATGGAACTACTTTTTAGGAATATTCTATTAGGAATACGATGCTCTGTGCACAGTGCCAAGTTAATATTCATCAACCAGCAATGATCTATATAACTGAGACTGACATCATGGACCTCAACGCAAGCATGCTACTTGCCATAAAAAGAATTGAACAGTACATGATCAAAGTCACCATTAACCCGCGACCCGTAGGGGGAGGGGGGGGGGGGTCGAAACGTTCTCCTGTCTTTTTCCGTAGATATCTCCTAAACAGCTGCAGATATCGCCACCCAAATTTCAGGACCCTTCCGGGCATCAATTTAACACATTGTTAACAAATATTTTTCCAGAGGCTATGAAAAGTTGGCCACAAATGACGTCAAAATGACGTCATGTTCTGCCATTTACGACCTAAAAAGGGTTTCGCGAGAAGAGCTGTCAGGCCTACAGCTTTGAAGATACAGAAAAATGTTTAATACATTTAATACACCACCCAAAAGGTGTAGAATTGATAGGGCTATAAAATTGCTATGTCGAATTTTTGACATTTTGGGATTTTGACCCCTAAAAATAAAAAAGTGATTTTTTTATATATTAGCCAAAAAATCCCAAAAGCTTTTCGAATTTCGAAAAAAAATCCGGAACATATATGATAGAACCTACCGTCGGGTATTCAGATATCACATTTTAGATCGATGCCTCTTTTTTTGGCCAAGTTGTAGCGAAAAAAAAAAACTGTTCAAAAATGATGACGTCAAATTTCAAACTCAGTTTTTGGCAATTTTAGACCACGTAGCGCCAAACAAAGACACCATTAGACTCCTCGTGACGATCTGCATCAAATCGATACCCATTTTATGCAAAAATATCAACTTTGAAATTTGACCTAATTTGACCTGACCTTGATCTGATCTTCACCAGAACATAACCTTAACTGTCCCCAAAGGCTGCCTGATCCACATAATCGCATTTGTCATGTAAAATGGACCATAAAACATGTACCACACGACATTTTCATACTGCAACCGTCAGTGACCCAACCTCTGTGACCTGACCTGGTATCAGTGACTTCAGATAGCAAAATAGGTGTTTGGCGAACAATTTTCCACCGAAGATTTTCAACAAATAACCAATTAACTCTATTCCACGACACATTTATTGGAATGCCTGTAAACGGTGAAAATGCGACCTTTGACCTGACCTGTGACGTCATCGGATGGGCCGAGGTCAAGGAAATTCGGTCACAATGTAGTTCCCCGGTGGAGCTATCGAAACTCGAAAGCCGTTTGAATTTTGAGCGTTGGCCGGTAAATTTCCGAGATCTAAAGGGGGGGGGCGAAACGGCCCCCCTACGGATGGTAGGGTCCGCCGATAGCCCTACGGGGCGCGGGTTAAATACGGTAAATGCATAATGCCGCACCCTACCAATTTTTTTCAAGGTTGACGTGTGAATATATTGACCATGGCAAAGGTACTTGCTTGATGCAGTTATACATAAAAAGTAAAATGTCTGTTACCTACTTAATATATCAGTGCATTAAGTAAAATCTGCCCAATTTCTCGAAACATATTACAGATAGTGAATATTTCTAGAGACTTAATTCTCCGCGAATTTGGAAAGAAAATTAAGTATTAACCTCTAAAGTAGACGTGAGTTCTAGCATGCCATATCAAATTGGGCACTAGAAACAATGAAAACACATATTTTTTGTGTGTACGCAAGCAGCATTGACATTTATCGGATGACAGCTAACTGACGCTCGTTTCATCATGTAGGTACGCGATCAAATTCAACGGAAATGTTGCAATCTAATCGCCTTGAATTGATTCAAATATGTAAGGAATGGCGCTCAGCCCCGTCACATTATCCAAGAAACGAAGATATACGACACAATACACATAACTCACTTGGTTTAGCAACAAAATACAGTGAAGTGTAGTCGATAAGAGTACATACCAGTATAACGCCTTATGGGGCGACTAACGGAGCGAGCGAGAGGGTGGGCCTTGCACGTGCGAAATTTCGAGGGGGTACCTCCAACTGACTTGTGCACGGCACCCTACAAACCGGTCTCTAGCGATGTGCCAAATTTGGGCACAGTCGGCCCAGCCGTTCTCTAGATCTGGAAGCGGCACCCTGCACGTGCGCACGTGCAAAATGGGTCCCAACTGACTTGTGCACGGCACCCTACTAACCGGTCCCTAACTGTGTACCAAATTTGAGCGCAATCGGTCGAGCCGTTCTCGAGATCTGGAAACGACCCCTGCACGTGCGCACGTGCAGCAGCACCCCAACTCTGGCACATGGATATGCAGTGCCTAGTGGGTGCCTACCTACATGCCAACTTTCAGCGCAATCGGCCCAGTAGTTACCGAGATATTGCAACAATTACAAAACGGACACCTCTTCGTTTTGCACGGCACGTGCATAAGGGGTCACCCACATGCATCGGAATAGCCAATACTTGGTAGAAGGAATGAAGCTACCCTACAAAATTACCGCGTGTAAATCGGTCAAGTGGTTGCTGAGATATAAGCCTCGCAAAGCGTCCGCACGCCGGCCGGTCGGCCGGCCGGCCGGCCGGCCGGCCGCTCATACTCAGAAATTTCCGTTAATCTAAGGAAGACTTCGCTGCTTCGCTCGCTCCGTAACTACATTGACATCAATGGCAAAACTGCACTCTTAAACTCGTCACATTTTGGTTCTCCCATATTTCCATGGAAAAAGCTATAAAACTGATACAATCCATCATATTCAAACCACATTCGAGTCCATTCACACGCCAAGTACAGGTATGTACAAGTTTTAGACAGAGAGAACCCAACATTCGTCCGCATAATAAAGCTTGTTTGCAGCAGCATAACAGCGGCCGGCACAACCCTCTAACC